CTTGTTAATGGACCTGTGACGCTGCCAGAAATAATTATATAGATTTCCAGAGTGTCTTTAGTCGCATGGGCTCGATGACACATTAATGATAAAATTGCACTATAGCCAAAGAAAATAGTCTTTTTTTTTCAGAGGAATTCTCTAAGCTAAACATTACGACTTAGGACAGACTAAAAGGGGAGAGGAATAACATTTACCCAAGTTTACAGAGTAATTTAACGCCCATCTATCATTTTGATTTGTATCTATTTGGAAACATTTAATGACTCGGTGCACATCAGTATAAATAGAGTGCAGTGGATGTATTCAACATAGGGTTCAGGGACCACTGTTGGTCCTTAACATGGTTATAGGGACCACACTGCAAACCTTAACTCACATAATGTTGTGATTTGGCATAACTCAAGTTTGCTCAAGTCCTGAGTTAGTCTGGAGTTTTAAGATACAAATCAATAACACTAATAATGTACTGCCATGCCAGCAAGTCTGTGAGGCTAAAAATGGGCCTTGTGCTAAAAGTGCTAGCATCAGCATGGTAACATGTTCAGAATGACAACACTAACATGTTGATGTTTACTGTAGCTGGTACAACGTGTACTATGTTCAGCTCTTTAGTTTAGCATGTTAGCCTGGTAGGACTTGCTAATTAGTCCTTAACTCAAAGTGCAGACGGTAACATGTTTTGCAGGATCTTACCTATCTCTGTCAATCACTTGGCTAAAAATCTAGAATGTAGAACACCAACTCAGATACAAGTCACAGTCATGTCATTAGTTTTAAATTTCAAGTCAAGTGTTCCTGTTTAAATGTAGAAAATCAGATCAAATAAAAGTCCAGATGTTATTTCTCAACTTTTTGTTTCATCCTCAGCTATCGAACATACAGGAGGCCAAGGTATAAGATAGCTTACAAGATGGTGACAGAAATGGAGTGGAAGTGTTGCCACGGTTACTCAGGAGAAGACTGCCAAGATAGACCACACGTAACCACTGACACTCAGGTCATCGGAGGGCGGCCTCATGTCTCACAGACGGGCTACAACACAGATGGTGGGCAGAGAGGAGAAGGTAGGGATGGCAAAAAGACTAAAAATTGGATGAATAGTTTTGACAACCATGACAGCTTTTAAATAGATCAGGTAACCCTCTTCAACAGGACTACTGGCAGTGTTTGATCCAATGTGGTGCTGGCACCATAATAAACAAGCTACTACTGTTTGAGTGTAAGATTTGGATTCAAATGTTGCTAAACTCCAACTGATTCACAGAAAGTCATGACTTCATACTACAAAAACAATAAAAGCAGGGATCTTTCCATTGAAATTATCAGACTGTTCTAACTTTGAATGAGAAAAGTGGTTTCCAGGGTCATTAACAACCGTGTCTATATAATTTTAAGGTTCCATACTTTATTTGACTGTGTAATTTTTGTCTTTTCTTGGTAATTTTTAGAATTAAACTACACATTTCCTCTTTAATATTGGCTATTCATTTTCATTGTCTCAAGGTGATGCTGAGAAGATCAGACACCTGGAAGAGACCATCCGTGGTCTGACCAAAGACCTACACAACATGCAGACAACTATTCACAACCTAAACCAGAGGCTGTATGTGAATGCTGTTTTTAATATATCACCTACAAAGTCTGATTTTATTTACTAAGATTTGTGTTAGGTTTGAAGGAGATAAATATCTTACCCTCAGTAGGAACTTAAGAGAATGTCAACATAAACACTGATGTATTCTGTGACCTTTGTGCTTGTTAAAGTAGAAATCAGCTAAATGTAGACTAAATTTTAGTTCTCCACCTTCTCATCCTCTCCATACACCACATTCCTGAGTATATGATACATTTTGATTTGCCACCCTTCCCTTTGTCTTACATTATATAACATATGCCTGTTTTTATTACAAATGTTTGTTAAAATTTGAGGAAATCTGTCTTTTCTCTACAGGCCCGGTCTGCAAGGGGCAGTTGTCCCAGCTGATTCAGCTCAGCCACACATGAAAGAAACCATCAACAACATTCAGACCAAGCTGGACCATCTCTACAACAGGACACAGGTCAAATATATCTGTTCTTGTTTGACTGTCAATATGTATAACAATTTAAATGCAGAACAGACTATGTGATGATGATGGCGTTTAGGTCCATGATCAGACTCTGCTCAACATCAACAACCACCTGGTGAACGGTGGGGGCAATGAACTTGATGGAGAAGGACCTCAGGGGAACCAGCTGAACACTCTGAAGGAAGAGATACTAACAGAGCTTGAGAGAAGAGTGTCTTTGTCCTGCTCTGCCTGCCAGGTGAACCTCACTGTGTACAAGCCACAACGACACAGCAAAAACATTCACAAAAGTTTGTTATACTCACATTTAAGTATAACAAAAAAAAGATTGTGATGTTAAATTTTTATATGTCTACTTTATTTTGTGTGGGGTTCTGCAAGTGAGTTCTGCTGCCTAAAGCAGTAAAAACTAATGACCACCTGCAGGCTGTAATAAAAGAAAACAGCACTCTCACATAAACCACTGCACTGCACAAACAAATAATACATCTAGAAATACAGTATAAATTTAAAAAAGGAACAGGACAGCAAGGCCAACTGCTATTTTCTAGTTTCAACATAAAACAAACATTATCTGTATAAACTGAGTTTTTATTTGACTTATGTTCAAGTGCCCCCTTCTCCTACAGCACCTCCCATACCATCATTTGAATCCTTTTGTTTAATGAACAACTGCACCTACTCCTTTTGTTCATATACTGTAGAAGATGAGGAGTGGCTGCATATGCTCTTCCCAAACCTGGCCACAAATATTATACAAAATACTGTACTTTATAACTGTACAACTGTACAAAATCATAGGACAGCATCAAAAGAAAACTTGCAGACCAAGGTCTATTCTTTAAAGACACTCCACCATTTTTATACACCAGAATCTGTTTACAAGTCTTGGTGACTAATGCTGCACATGTAAAACAAAGGATGTATAAAGCCTCGAGGCTCCAGAAGGAGCTGTATGAAATCTGACCATTTGCCTCAAGTGATGTGACTTAAGGAAGCATTAGTTGGGGCAGATGACAGCAGGTTTGAAAGTGAGAAAAATCTGGTGGTGTTAAAGTGAGCCTGCAAGGCAGTTGCAGCCCGCTCCTCATCTCTGTTTGAGGCTAGCAACTCAAGGCCTAAAGCATTAGTGCACCTGGTTACTGGCAGTCGAGCTATATTGTAAGTAATTTAGGAACCAAGTTAAGACCAGAAAGAATAATGTGTGGAACACTGGATACAGTCTCCCCCAGTCTCATTGTGAGTTTGGTCATGTTATAACTGACTGGCTAAGACACTAGATTTGTGTAGTACTCTTAAATCAGAGCTCCTCAGCAGTTTGTACATACTGATGTACTTTTTACACCACTTATTACCTGGGGAGTCACTGTGAAAAGTTATAGGGGAAAGATACAAGTAATTTTGAATAAGAAATCTGCCATGATAAAACAAAAGATGTAACTGGTATCTGCTAAAACACAACTCTTGTCCCTGTTTCTTTCAGGCTGGCGTGGAGGACCTGAGGCGCCAGCAGCAGGAGGACAGGGACAGGATCAGAGCCCTGGAGAAGCATTTCAGCTCTGTGGACCAGCACTTTAGACAGAGCCTGGAAATCTCACGCAGTGAGACTGAGCGCTCCAAAGCCTGCTGCAGCACAGTCACTGAGCTGGAAAAGAGACTGTCTGCTGTAGAGGTCCAAGTCACCTCCACTGCTGACAAGTGTGACACCATTAAAGGGCAGCTGGATAACGAGCTTGCTGGGACAGGTGGAGGAAAAGGAAAAGTGACAGAGGACCGGTTGAACAGCAGACTGAGAGACTTAGAGAAGAGGGTGAATAACACCATGAGGAAGACGGAGCAGAGGTGCATTAATACTGGGAGCACCACAAAGGACACTGTCCAGAGAGACGTCACACACCTGCGCAACATGGTCCTCAGTCGTCTGGATGACCACAGCTTCAAGGTTGGAAAAATAGAGCTGGATGTGGCTGTTCTTGGAGATACAGTGACAGATCATAGTCGACGTTTAGGTCAGCTGGAGAACATCACGGCCTTCCTGGACAAAAAGCTTACATCGACAACAAGCATCTGCAGCGAGACCTGTGGGCCTGATGGAACAGGCCGACAGACTGATGACACTGTGAAAACCTTACAGTGGAGAGTTGTAGCCGCTGAAGAGGAGATCCAGAAGTTTAACACCAAGTTAAATGATTTGTCTGTGTCAGGAGACTCCCTGAGTGACAAGGTGATCAACTTAATGGATGATGTCAAAAGGATCACTGCTGTGACAGGGAGGAGTGGTGAGCACTTCAACCGGATTGTCACAGAGGTTGAAACATTAGGCCGTAAGTTTAAGGACTGCTCAATTTGCAGCACTTTAAGAGAGGATTTGCGCTCACTTACCAACTCCACCATGAGTGGTCTCAATAGGTGCCAGACAGAGCTGACAGATCTGCGGACAAAAGTCAACTCGGGGGAATCTGTTTGCTCTCAGGTGTGCTCCAACCTTCAGGAGGAGGTGGGACGGCTCCGAGAGGAAGTGGAAGAGTGTACTGGACAGTGTAAAAACAACATAAATGATTTGAAGGACCGTCTGGACAGTCATACTGTCCACAGTGGACGATTAGGAGGGGATCTGAAGTCCATTCAAGGAGCGCTGGCTGGGGTCATGTTCACATTTAACTCCATTAATGACACTCTGAAGAGCCTGGGAAGAACCATACAGACACAGGGGAACACACTGACTGACCTTACCAACAGTAAGAATAACATCATTTCTGAGGTAAGATAATGATGAAGATATACTGATATTGCTATTGCGAGGACAATTTGTGTATCATATATATATAGTGTACTCATGACCTATATGTCCATATGTTGCATATGAGTTGCGAGCAGTTCAAAGAGTGTTATTTGTTTTACTGATTGTTTTACTTAAATAGATTTTACAGGCCTTAAGAGGGGCAAACTATCCAGGATTTCACAATAAATGCACTTGTCCTATATGATTGTCTGTAGAACATTTTATGATAATTTATTTCATAGCTGTTGAGATATTTCAGTCTAGACCCAAGTGACAGCTCAACCACCCACTGCCATGCTGCTAGTGTGGCTAAAATGTCAGAAACCCCTGTTTGGGATCCTGAGCCCTGGTTTGGGAACCACTGTGTTATATTAAACTTTAAACATTGTCCCTCAGAAAAGATCAAACTACCATTATAATAATGATGATGGTAATTGCACTGATGATTTATGTGTTGTTTTATTAAACTGTACATTGTAAAACATCACTTTCCTTCGTGTAAAAACAACATTTTGTCAGTGAAATTTGCCTCATGGTTATCTTGACCACAGTGTTTGCACATAATGTTGTTATACTTGTGAAAATATTTGAGTGTGTTACAAAGCTTTGAGTCGTACGGCTTATTCAGTTCCGGCTTAGATAATATGCTTACATATTTTTAAGTCTATAAGAAACCAGAGGAAAATAAAGTGTAGCAAAGATGGAAAAAAGTACTTTATATTTACAGTAGCACTTGAAATGTAAAAGGAGATTCATGCAAAATACACAGATTAACAATTATCTACATTCTCTACAAGATAAACAACCTGCAGATTTTGCTGACAGAGCATGTCGATGACTCAAAGATTCAATTCGACACCCTGGACAAAGAGATCCAAATAATAAGAAGCAACTATCTGACAGAGGTGGGGGAGTGCCGGCGAGGCAACGATGGCCTGGACCAAAGACTTTCCAAGCTGGAGGGAGTGTGCAGCCGCTTTGACTCTTTTTCAGACAGCCTGGAGAGGATCAAGGAAGGCCTGAACCAACACGTGTCTGGGTTATGGAGCTGCGTCAATGGACTCAATGTCACGGTATCATCTCATGGACATCGTATTGACAATATCCAGAATGTCCAGCTGGAGCATGTTCACACCCAGATACACAAGCTGAACTCTTCACTGGTGGACTTGACCAAGGAGTTCGACAACTTCATGGAAGAGGACTTCACAGGTAAGTCAGAGAAGGCAAAGGGCATGGGATTTCACTTTTTGGACCAGAGATAGCACTGAGTAAAAGGGAGGCAAGGCCATTCCAAAGAAGGAATCCAGCCTGCTATGTGCAGAAGCATTAACTTAAGAGTCTGTAAAGTCTGCAGTCTGTCTGAAAGAGAGGTTTTAGTAAACATGAGAGTGGAAGACATCCTGTGTCAGACCAAGTTAAATGTCTTGGCTTCCTTCTCTTATTTTACATGTTTTTACAATTCTCCCATGAGACACTGTTACTGGTAAAAAGATTTTCAGGACGGTGTTTTTCAGCTGTTCTGTCTCACCAAACATTCCTCTCCTCCAGGTCCACCTGGTCTGCCAGGACTGCGTGGAGAGAGAGGTGAGCGTGGACTCCCTGGTCCAGAAGGACCTCAGGGGAGGGTGGGACTTCCAGGCAGACAGGGTGAGCAGGGACCAGTAGGACCCCCAGGTAAAGACAGCAAACTCTGTTTATACTTTGTTGAATGTAATGACATTAATTTACTTTAGTTGCCTCACAGATTTTTTTTCTTCTTCACATCTATTGTAGATACATGATAAGAATCCAAAATAAACAGCAAGAATGATAGAGTTAATGATTAACTCACTGTTTTCATCTTTTGTCTTACCCCTCAGGTCTCAGAGGTGAACAGGGTATGTGCCATTCTTACTAAACGGCTAATGAAACCACTCATTACTCTCTGATTTTTATTTCACTCTAACTCCTACTCCCCATTTCTCCTCCTTGGTCAGGTCCTGCAGGGTCTGATGCCCTCGTTCCACGCCTTTCTTTCTCTGCTGCATTGACTCGTCCGATGAGGAGTGCGGGAACCATAGTGTTTAATGATGTCTTTGTCAATGAAAATAATGTCTACAATCCCAAAACAGGTCAGTTTGTTTGGAATGTGACTCGGTGCTTGTCGAGATCAGTCATTTCTTGTTACTTTTTAAAAAATATGAATTTTAATGGTTAGCTAGTTCTAGTGGTATCTAGCCATGCAAAGAGATTTGGTTTTATTTTTCCAGGTTTAGAGATATCTCAAACAACATCTCAGAGGTTTCTGCTGCCATGTCAGTTGAAAGGGGATGAAAGGGATTTAGTTTGTCATGCTCATAGCCCTGATATTCAGTAGAAGGTATTTTCCTAGAGATCATCCACAGACCTCACCATAAGCAATTTGTCTTCTCATGCAATCCAACAGGCTTCAGACCTTCAACATTTGATTTAATTGACCTATAGAGTTTACGAAAGTTACCAATTAAGCAAGAGTTAAAGCGAACTTTTTCACTTCATGAGTTATTTGTGCAACAGCAAGTGCACAACACTAATATCCTCAGTGTAACCATGTACTTCCATCCTCCAGGTTATTTCACAGCTCCAGTGAGAGGGAAGTACTTCTTCAGTGGCATTCTTACCGGTCACAAGAACATGAAGATCGAGGCCGTGCTGTCAAAGTCCAATACTGGTGTGGCCCGTGTGGACTCTGCTGGGTATCAACCCGAAGGCCTGGAGAAACCCATGGCAGAAGCCAAGCAAATTCCTGGAGCTCTGGCTGTTTTCAACATCATACTGCCTATGGAGGTCGGGGACACAGTCTGTATTGACCTTGTCACTGGCAAACTGGCCTTCTCCTCCGAACCTTTGACTCTCTTTAGTGGGATGCTGCTGTACGAGACAATTTGATTGGGTGTGATTTCATTATGTCTGGGCTTGTCTGCTGGACTCTTAACAGACAGAGCCACTGACTAATCAGAGGGTGAAATAACTGGACTGGATTTATTCAGCAAAAAGATAGATACTTTATATTTTGCCTTATGTGTGTTAAGTATGACAGAACAATCCTTTTCAACCACAATGATTTGTTTTGTTCCACAACTTTAAGGAAAACTATTTGTACAAAGAACCATTGTGTGTCTGTGCTTTTTTGTTTTGTGTTGTTTTACAATTTCTTCAGAAAAAGCCACTTCCGGGTCATCTTATACTTCTACATTTCATACAGTGTATAAACTTAATCAAAGGAAGTTTGGTAAACTGATGAAGGATTAAGCATGTGGAGTTTTTGTTTGTTATCCACCCACAGCATATCAGCATACTCATTTTTTTTCTGTTTCTAGTGTAGTTTCTTTTCTTATTGCTCAGTTTCATTTTTACCACAAGTGAATTCCCAGAAACCTAATGTTGAATGCCAATTGACTTACAAAAATACAGTGATGTAGGAGGCAGGGGCCATTGTCCAAACCACTAAAATAAATTCCTTTGAAAGAAATGCACAAATGAAGTCACTTACAGTTCAACTGAGAAACCACAGGATTTTATAAAGCATACAGCAGCAAAACAATAAGGCCAACATAAGGGGAAGGGAAGGAGGATGGGCAGGGTGTAGACTGAGCCTGTCTTCTTCTGTCCTAATAAGGGCATTGAACTCCATGGAGGATCAAGTAGTTAAAGTTATAAAGCTGTTAGTATCAGTCCATCTTACAGTGGAATTCTTAAATAAAGCTAATAATAACACACAATGAAGCTACACCTTTGGCACTATGCTTCAAATCTTGCCTGCCTTTACAAATCAAATACAAATGCCTCCAGAAGAAAATATGTGTATGAAGTCTAGTTTGTAGATATTCTTGAAGGGATTTTTAGAGGCACACTGCACATTTTCTGCAAAGACAATACAGCAGATTGGGCCACACATTGCGCTCAATTTACATTAGAATGAAAGGAGCCCATGAGTTAATATCAGCTTGTCACGGTGCTCACAATATGTATTTTTTCACATTTTATCCCTCAGTGTTCAGTGTGGGAATGATTTTGTTTCTATGCAGTGTATAACCATGAAGGAATGTAAATATTCGTAGCATTTTTGCCTTTAAAACATTTTTGCCAGTTACCACTTCACATTGCCAGGTACTGTATATGTTTTGTATGTTTTTGACGCGTGTGCCTCAAATACAGATACCAGGTTTTATACAACTGATGTCAACAGTCTCACTTTTGTCTTGACCTTGGACCTCTGTCATCTCTTTCTTTTGACTTCAGCGGGGTAATTTTAGCTGCAGACTAAGGATATACTGTAGCTGAAAAACCCTTTTTTACACTGCTCTGCAGTGACACCTTGTGTTCAGTTTCATTATCTCGTTCTAGTTGGAGGTACTGCTTCTGTTCCTAAAAGACAGAGGTGAGTATAATTTGTGTTCCATTCTTTGCACATTCATTACTTATAAATGGGAATTACATGTCTCTTTTGTAGGGCCTCTTTGTACACAATAGCTGTCATTCCACTTTAAGTCACACAAATAAAGTCATTCCCAAGAGTATGTAAGCTGATCTGTGCACTGATGATCAAGGCCATGAAGAACTGGTAATTCTACCTAGACTACTCAAGGGCTTAAGTATGCATGACAAGCTGGGTTATAGATGTACACAGTGTTTATGGTAGAGTAATTTTATATGTACCCCATGACAGGCAGCTACTTTGTGCAAGCTAATAAGGGTAAAAAAAAAATGAAGAAAGAACAATCTGATGATATCAGAAATATTAGATTGTGATTTGGATTGGGCAAAACAAATAGGAATTGGCTGACACTACAATGCAACTAAAGTGTGATGTTTATGGGATAAAATATGGCTGGTGTTAATTATTGCAATAATTTTTATTTGTATGCAGTTTAGTTTATTTGTTTTTTTTTTAAGTGCTGTTCTCTCCCCTCGCTGCTGTTGTTTTTTCAAGTATAATGTTCGAATTACCGAGCTCATGTCCAGCACTTGAAAGCAGCACCAGTCAGCACCAGAACACCACGCGCCCGTCCCACTATTTACACGCGTTTCGTTGCCAAGGAGATGAGTTGGTTTCCCTCCTCCGGCTCGTTCAGAGTGAAAAGTAGAGTTTTAAAATAAATTGAGGACTTTGTGGAGAAATACTGAAACAGTCGTGAATGTCTGAAAATACAGTACAGCGAGATTTTTAAGTTTTCTAGTACAGTAAAGTTAAGGAGTAACACAAGGTGGCTAGCTAGCGAACGTTCCTCTTGCAGGTGAGTTCAATGACTGAAGTGTACATTCCCTTTAATTTGTTGTTTTTGCCTTAAATTTACAGCCTATGTTATTTATAGTGCTTTGGGGAAATTTTCTAGTTTTATTTTAATGTGTAACATTTAGTAACAGTCAGTGGTAGTGAAAACGTATCACCTTTTGACTCAGATAAAAAAAAAAATGTTTTTTTTAAAGTTAAACTGATGATAAGTAGTAACCTAGTTTAACTTAGCTTATAATGTGGTGTACCGGTTCCCATAGTGTAAACTGTTAACATAATGTTATTTAAAGTAAGTTACATGGAGGTCAAACTTAATTATTTTAGGCGAAAAGCAGGAAAATGAAATATACAGCAGTCAAACCAACAACCCCTTTGTACTGACTGCAAAGACTGTTGTGCCATTCTGCATAATGAGTACTTTTAATTTAGGTACTTTAAGTATTTGATGCTTTTACTTAAGTAACATTTTGAATGCATACTTGTAAGAGAGTATTTCTTATACTGTTGTATTGCTATTACTGTACTTTAACTTAAGTAAAGAATTTGAGTACTTCTTTCACCAGTGACAGCATAATACTTGAATACAACCCCAAATCAGAAAATGTTGGGATGATATGTAAAAATCAAAATTAAAACTGAAGATAGTGATTTGTAGATCATCTGTCCTGTATTACATTGAAAACAATCCAACACATTCCAAATACAGTTGGGACAGTAAAGCATTTACCACAGTGTGATGTTGCCGTTCCTTTTCACAACACTTAAGAGATGTTTAAGGACTGAGGACACCAAGTGATGGTCAGGTGTCATTTTGTCCCATTCCTCCTGCAAAAAAGTCTTAAAGTGCACAACAGTCCTGGTTCTTTGTTGACACAAATTTCAAAGTGCACCGCAGATCCTTTACTGGGGACAGGTCAGGACTGCAGGCAGGCCAGTCCAGCACTCACATCCTTTTCCTCCACAGTCATGCCTTGGTAACGTGCACAGTATGAGGTTGTGTTCTTGTTTAAATATGCATGTGCATCCCTGGAAAAGATGACGTCTTGAAGGCAGCATATGTTTCTCCAAAATCTCTATGTATTTTTCAGCAGTAATGGAGTCATCACAGAAGTGTAAGTTACTTTTGCCAAGGTCACTGACACGACCCCAGACCATGACAGACCCTGGCTTGGGGCGTATATATTGCAGCCATCTGAATTGATGTGGGTGTTTATTTTGAACAAAGTATCAAATTGATGAGGTATCACATCAAATAATGTGCTGCTGTATTGTTTTCAATGTAATACAGGATACAGATGTTTTACAAATCACTGTTTTCAGCTTTAATTTTGATTTTACATACCATCCCAACTTTTTCTGACTGGGGGATGTACAAATCTAACTACCTACCTCAAAAATTAGACTTTTAAGAAACACTGCACTACTATTCCAAGCTTGGTCACTGCATATTTGAGTTATGCCTCCTTTGTTCTTTTTTTCCCCCAGCCTCTCTCATAACCCAGAATGAGTGGCGGAGTAGCAGTGGACCGCCTGCAGGTCTGTCAGATCTACCGCCTGCTGCAGTGGGTCCATAAAGGGAACAAGGTGCAGATAGAAAAGATGGTGAACCTCGGGGTGGAAAACCTCATCAATCTCACTGAGCCACAGGATGGCATAGGGGTGCTTCACGTGGCAGTTTCAGCCAACAATCAGGGTGATTGCTCTGTCAGATTATATAATACAGTTTAGTCAAGTGGTGTTTCTCTGGTGTGCTGTGGCTAACAGCTGAGCATCAGTTTGATACTTTTCAAATCCAGTCACATGTGACGGCAATTGCTTCATATTATCACTATTTTTATAACTTGAATACTGTGAGTCCATAATAATTAATTAATTAATTAATTAATTAATAATTTGAGTAACTTCCAAAAACCCTCGTTTACATGAGTTTTATAATGTTCATAAAGATGTGTTGTAACTTACAGAAATATATATTCAAAGTCTATTACTGCTTCCAAAAGAGATACGCTATAGTTAAATAAAAGGCATCAGCCTACATACTGTACTATCCAGGAGTTTGTAGAATCTACTGCAAACCAAAAAGTACTGTAAGATTTCAAAAGTCACTTATTTCTCCTGACTTTTTCTCTGCTCTCCCTGACTCCACTCAGACCTAGTCGAATTCCTTCTTTCCAACGGAGCACACCCCGACATCCAGGACAAGAAGGGTCGCACCCCAGTCATGTTAGCAGCTGAGCAGGGTCATGATGCCATAGTGGCACTGCTGGCACAGAACCGCGCTAACATGAGGCTCCAAGATGATGAAGGCAAAGGTGAGCGCTATCAGGCATCGCTGTTTTCCGTATGGCATGTTGCAAGAGACCCAAACAACAACAACAATCTGTATAGAAATGACAGACTAGCATGTTACATATCTTAACTTCATTACAGTAAACTCTGAGATATGGTTAAACTGACTCTGGAAAGGCAAGAAAGCATCCTCAGCTATCACTGGTTTCACTGCTGCTTTTTCAAAGGACAGCAATGAACTTCAATGCTCAATTAGCACAACAATTCTATGGAAATGCTCATAATCAAGCTGTCATTCATTAAGTAAAAATGCAAACATTTGCTTGTTGCTGTCGAAATGTGTTGGTTTTCATGTCAGTGTGGATTTCCATTTGTTCAGAAAACAGTTGTTAAAGATATCACACTGTACTGTAGAAATATCAGTAACCTTTACTATCTACAAGTAAAACTCCTACCTAATGCACAGGAATGTACCTAGAACCCCTATGGTCAATAATTGATACGGTTTTAATCATGAGAGCTTTGCTTTTACTTATGTATTCTCATTTGCAGTGTCGATTTCTCAAAGAGAGGTGTTTTCCATCTCAAGTTAGGCTGGCAGCTTCATTCTGAATGCCTGGCCTTGTCTTACAACTCATGAAAATGCATGGCGCTACTCTTTAGATATTGATGAGGAGGTAGTATCCCAGATATCTCCCATCAGTTCTTCTTAAGGGTGTGTTTAAACCTACTGGCACTCTTTTCACACTGCGTGAAAGAGAATGGGAGGAAGGGTGAGGGAGTTCTGGTTCGTCCCAGTCTCAACACTCACAGTGGGCTGTGTCAGTAGTCAACTGGCTTGTATTATCCTGTGTTGACCTAAATGTTAGAGGAGTGGGTTTGTGACACCAGTTAGATTTATACATCAGAGTTACTCTGGGTAGAGAAATCTCCTATCATTACCACAGATGAAGTGCCACTAAGCAAGGCCCTAAGTGGTTGTACTGTGTTGTATTTTCAAGTGTTAATAATATT